TTTGTAGAGACCTCCTGGGCAACTGCCGGGGCTCGGATCCAAGCCTCGGCGGCTGCCAAAGAGCCCATCCATGCCTCCGATCCTCTCCCCAGGGTTGCCCCCCCAGCCGTGGGGGAAGGGTGGAAGGCATGGCCGGGCTCTTTGGCAACTGCCGAGGCTCAGTAACCGGTGTAACCTTGGGTAACCGGCGGTGGGTGGGACCCAAGCCTGGGATGCCTGAAAGGCATTCCAACCCCCCCCCCCCCCCCCCGCGGCTTGGATCCGAGCCACGGTGGCTACCCCAGCCATGGCCGGACTCTAGGGAGTCCAGCCATGGCTGAGGTAGCCGCCGTGGGTCAGATCCAAGCCACGGGGGGGAGGGAGAAAATCGGATAATCCATTCCTATTGGAACGGATTAACTGGTTTCCAGTGCATTCCTATGGGAAATGGTGCTTCACATAACGATGTTTTCACATAACGATTTTTTATGGAACCAATTAACATCGTTATGTGAGGCACCACTGTAATGTGGAATTGCTGGTTGCACAGATTTTCCTCCTTTCTCAGTACAAGGGTGCAACAGTTATCACTTACTATTTCTCTTCCGCATGTGAATTGTGTGAATTGCATTTAGAAAATGCCTCGTCCTTCTTTCAGCTCTAAAAAGAGTTGCTAGTTATAGCCACCAGATTAAAATGCAAAAATAGAACAAGTGTAAGAATTAAGAAAACAAATATATCAGTGATGAAGACAATGGAAAACAAAGAATGGGCCAATTTTAAAAAAATGTGACCGAGCAATAGGTTAAAACAGTCAGATTTTAAATCACAGTACAAGGAAGAAGTCTTTGCTATCCTGACCCTCAAAAGAAAGGAATGGGCCACATTGCTCTGGGGAGAGAAGGTCTCTCACTTGGTGCTGCCACCAAAGAGGCCCTGTCTTGTGCCTGACCCAGTGTGGTAGGAAATTTAGCAAGGCTTCAGAAAAAGTCAGGGATGAGATCTCAAGTTGCAGGACTTGCTGTCAAGTTGGATTTAACTTGCACTGGTGGCTCAATTCACATTTGACTTGGTCCCCCCCCCCATGACTTGGACTTGACTCATGATTTGGAACACACCCACACCTCCCTTATTTTTCTGGGGAAAGAAGATTGCTTTTACTAGAGACTTGGACTTGGGGCTTGGGACTCAGGACTTGATACCAAAGGCTCAAACTTGGACTTGGGACTCAGACCCAAAGGCTCGCCATCATCCCTGGAAGAACTTTGTATTATGCAATCAGACTCATGGAAGTGAAAGAGGTCTTTGAGATAATCTGGTCCCAAACCCATTTTTTAGCTAAATTGATTCTGGTGTCCTCATGTTCATACACCTATCTTTGACATCTCTTTTTCCACACACTGGTTAAGCAGACACCCTGTCTCAATTTGTAGACATTCACATTTCTGTTGTTCATCATACTTCTAAACAAATCAGGTCCACCTGAATTGTAACCCCCTTAATTCTCCCCCCTCTCCCCTCCCACTCTTTCTCTTCTCTCCCCCTTTTCTTTCTTGCTAATCTTTCTCTCTTTCCACCTAGTGCTTAGTCATTCTTTACTCACCACGCATATTTCAGCAACCACTTACTACCCCCTAGTTCCCTGCTCTTTTTCATCCCTTCCGCCTTCTCTTCACCTTTATTTCTCTTGTCATTTTTCTTTCTTGCTCTCCAGTCATTTATCCTCCCCCCCACTTTTGCCTTCCTGCTTTATCAGGCCTGATGTCAGTCTCTTTCTTTCTCTGAATGGATTTAAACGATGAGGGTGCAAAAAAGGAGAAAGCATAGTATACAACTGCCTAGAGGCTCTGTGGAGAAATTAATCACCCAACCTGCTTCAGCTTTGTCTTCTACTTAAGGAAGGCCTTGTAGCTGAAGGTGATACTGTAGGGTACAGGCTTATTTTAATTAACTAAAATTAATTAGTCATTTTAAAACACAAAACAACCCCAAGATGCTCACCACAGGGTGTCTTTTTTCATGACAATTTTCAGCTATCTGTGTTTCACAGTCTTGGTCCAATGGTGCAGGCAAAGAGAGAGAAATACACACACTCTCTTTTTTGCCTTTATAAAAATGCTATTATATAAAAAAAATCACAGCACAGAGTTACAGCTACTGTGCTGCCCACTGAGGCCTGGATTTTTCACTTGAGTAATCCTTTTTTAGATGTACATTGCTTCAGCAAAGAGTTTTTAACTTCCAAATAAGTTGGCCTACAACTGTTACTGATCCATACAACTGGGCCTAGTGGTTGTGAAAGTCATAGTTCAGAACATGAAGGGGAGCAGCGATCATCCAACCCTGCTCTAGCCCATATTTCTCCAATTCAGATCTTTGCCCTTTTGTTGTATCTTCAGGGCTTGACATTTTTTTAGAATGTCTCACCAGTCAGTCAAAAATTTCACCAGTCAGCATGACCGGACTATAACCTTGCAAGTTATGTTAACACATTTAAACTAGGCACTTGTTCACTTTTATTTCTATGTAACAATGTATACAAACCCAAAATAAATTCTATTACGTACATGGTATTCACCTATGTCTCCTTAGTAGAAAATGCACTGCTGTCAGAAGTGTTGCACTTGTGTCCTTGAACATGCCTGGTAGTTTTAGCCCTGAAGTACCATTTATGGCTTTAGTAAGGTTAAACTGTGGCAGTGGAGGTCCATTTAGATTCACCATCATAAGGTCATCTAAACTTTCAGTCTCTAAACACGATCTGAATTTATTTTTGATCAGATTCATCTAGCGGAATCTCCTTTCACAGCTAACTGTAGAAACTGGTAGAACAGAGGCAATTTTAAGGAGTGTCAGAAGAACAGGAAACCTACCCCCATGGTGGTTCATTGCCTTTCCCAGTAAATCCACCGATGACACAACTTTTGCACATATTTTGAATTCATACCATTCATCCAGAACTTTCTGAATTGTTTTCTTTGCCCTTGTGTTGCAAAACAGCTTGGTAATGAGATACAAGTATGGTTACTTCCTTTTAACCAAAACTTTCCAAGGATATTTCTGGCAATGTGAAAATATCAAATATTGACATAGATGTTAATACAGTGGGGTCTCGACTTACGAATGGCTCGACATACGAACGTTTCGACTTACGAACCGCTCTCATAGGAATATATGGACTCGACTTACGAACTTAGATTCGAGTTACGAACTCTTTTTTTTTCCTTTTTTTAAAAGCTAAGTCATCTTAGGTTAAAAGGAAAAAAGAAAAAAATATCCCCCTCTAGTGGCAGAAGGCGGAATAGCAGCTTCCCATTAGTTTCTATGGACGAAAAGAGCAGATACGGATTAAATGGGTTTCAATGCATTCCTATGGGAAATGCAGATTCGACTTAAGAACTTTTCGACCTGAGAACTGCCTTCCAATACGGATTAAGTTCGTAAGTCGAGACCCCACTGTATGCCATTTGTAGCACAGGTTTTATTACCTGCGTGCCTGTGGAATCATGAAGCTTGTATAAGCTTGTATTTTGAATGCCTTTCTTTTGAATGTCTCCAGCAAAAATAAAACTGAAAGCAAAAGCGCCCGGCCTCTTAAGGAGCCACAGTTCTCTCCCACCCTAGGATGTGTCCTCCTTCGGTTGAAATTGGGAGCAGGGAATCTCCATATTCTCCAGCATGGGACTACTGTACATTTTCCTGCAGAGTTATATCTCTATGTGCCACTCAAACTCTCTTCTCACGAGAAGAGGGCAATTTTCCTTTTGCAATGGGAGGGGGAGGGGTGACTGCAGGATTAGAAAGAGACAGGTGGAGGGGAAGGAGACAGACAGGGAAGGAGCTGTGACTCATCGAGCAGCATTTTTCATTCATCACAGACGAGTGGATGAGTGCATTTTTCTAGCTCTGCATATCTTTGTTAATTTTTCTTGCTCTAGGTTCCTGCTCTCTCTTGCTCTCTCTCCATATCAACATTATGCATTGTAGTTTGCATACATTTGGATGATGAACATGAACAAAAAATATGCATGGACCAACTTATAGATATGCCAAGGTCCAATGAAACAACAATTTTAAATTTTTAAAAAATATTTAAGGGCCTAATATTGGGAGGATCACCCAACCCAGGAGCTACTCTCTCCTTTTCCCAGATATCTGTGGATCTTCCCATCAATGCAAGGATCCAGAGACTTTGGGAGTGGAAGAGGTGTTTCCAGCAGTAATCATGTGTTGGCCTCGGAAAGAACAAACTTCCTTGCTCATAAGCCTGTGGGTTGGGGTGTAAGACCATGATAGCAGTGCTAATACACCTGAACCATGCTTTATTTTCCCATTTGAATATTGGTAGGTATAGAATATAATTTCAGTGAAGTGGAAATTCTCACAGAAATATCTCATGATGTAGCAAAGTACATCCTCCCTCAGCAATGTACATTTGCAAGGCTTGTGCTGTGTCTTTGAGAAATAAAATACACACAAAAGTGTGCATACATTTTACAAATGTGAATGGGTAAAATGTGTGTAATTGAGAAAAATGTGCAAGTATGTTTTAGGCATGGGGAATATGTGTACGAAATGTGTACATTAGGAGAGGTGCCTGAGGAAATGCACGCAAGAAGAAAATGTACATGGTACATGTATATATATTCCTGTGCAGAAAATAAAAACATAAAGGCCTTCAGTCCTGTGTGAGTAGATGCAATGGGATGGAAGGTGGGATCAAGAGAAATGGAACAGAATCCAGGCTGAGAGTTTTCATATCCTGAAAGTCTGTAACCAGCACTGACTGGATAAGTGCTGGGCGAGGCAGCTGCAGCAACCATCTTTTCCTTCTTTTTCTTGAAGCTGTCTGCCTTCCCCATTATAGAAGGACATTATATTGCCAGTTAGGGCCCAAACAGAAGGGAGGCAAAATGGAGGTGGGCAGTGGCTGAATTCAACAGCTGCCTGGCATTACACTTTCCATTCTGCACTGGGCCAAATCTAAAATAGATAGTTGGGCACCACCATCTCAGCTCTTGGGAGAACCATGTCACTGACATCCCTGGAGGGCGCCTTGTCCTGAATCCCTGAAACACAGCACTAGATTTTGTGGTTGTTAAAAGAATTACTGACAGAAAAGTAAGTGAACTGCTTCAGAACTCCTATATAAATGCTAAATAAGTACTATAGTATCACCACCAGCAGTTTTACCTTTCCTTTAATTATGCTGTTACTTTGTGGAATATCTTGTTTTACGATCTTATCTGGCATTTCTTATTGTTTTTCCCACGTTAGGGAAGAATAGTTCTAAATCTCCAAAGGAAGTAATAACGTATATCTCTTAACCTGAATGGTAATTATATCTGTTCAGCAGCAAAAAGAAGCTCCATAGCTCCCTTAGACCTGACAATTTCTTTAATAAGCATCAATTTTGGGAAAGTATTCCTTGCTGCCATTTTAGCCACAGTATAAGAAATAAAAAACAATACCTTTGTATCATTTTGTGGAAGATGGGTAACACTTAGCACTTTTACAGTGACATTGTACAAGACCAGTATAAGCCCTATCTCTAGTTCTACAGCATCCATCAATGCTACTACACTTGTTTTTGATGCATTTGAACTGCAATTCTTGCTTGAAGGTATTCCCACTACACTGTGATGGTTGTGTAGGCAATAACATTGGGGTCATAGATTTAGTAACAGTAATAGCAATAGCAATAGTAATCTTAGAACTGCAGAGCTGGATAGGACCCTATGGATCATCGAGTCCAGACCCTGTCAAGGAGGCATAGTGCGGAATTGAACTCCCAACCTCTGGTTCCACAGGCAGATTGTGGGAAAACAGATGTCCTCCTCAGAAGGAAGTAGAGTAGGAGGGGGATCAATCACTGGCATGCTTACCCTGGGGTCTTACTCCGGCATCATCGCACAAGAAAATAGGCATAGCATTATAGGTTTAACTTGTCGCCTGGAGAAAACTGTTAATGCTACCACCAAAATTATCAGAGATTTACAAAACGAAATTGAACAGCTACAGCAGATTCAGTTACAACATTGTTTAGCTTTAGATTATTTGCTTGCTCGGTCACATACGGGTTTTTGTAAAATAGTTGGTTCACAGTGCATTGTACGCTTTCATAATTTGAATCGCTCCATTGAACATGAGTTAGTTGATTTGCATGACACTATTACCAATAATGTTAATCCTGCTCCATGGACTGAGTTTTGGGATTTTCTGTGGTCCTGGCTACCGGACCTTGGATGGCTTAGACAACTTTTTATTATTCTTATTTCTATTATTGTTTCACTTGTAATTGCTTGCTGTTTTATTCAATGTATCGAAGAGGCAGAGGCACTCGAGACCAAATTGCTAACTTGCTCTGGATTATGGAGAAAGCCAGAGAGTTCCAGAAAAATATCCACTTCTGCTTCATTGTGTGGGAAAATATATGCTTTTGTCAGATATGTGTCTGTGGTGTCAGCAGCCATTGTGGGGAACCGTACAAGTCACGTATGGCAAAGGTGGATGATTAACCTGTTTGCTGGTGTATTCAAAAATTATCTGTCTCTGAGTTGATTAACTTGCCTGTGTATTTAGGAATTTCCTGTTTCTGGGTAAACTGTATTTACTTGTGTATTTAAGGTGTTAACTGTCTATGTTTACCCTGCTCTGTATTCAGGAATGTTTACCCTACTTGTGTATTTGGGATATTAACCGCCTCTGTTTAGAATAGTTTTTGATTAACTTGTTCAAAGGTAGGGGATACAATAAACTGGGGGTGAGGCGACGGATCGAGGAAAATTTTCTCACTGAACAGGATGTTGCACAGCATGCTGTTTCAATTCATCCGGATCCCGCCCTGAAACACACATCTGAGCGCTCATCTCCTTTCTCCTTGCTGGTCAAGAGGGGAGGGAGGCTTCATCTGCAAATCCCGAGACAAGCTTCATCTGCAGATCCCTACAATAAGTTTCATCTGCAGATCCCGACAGCAGATACCTAAACCACTGATTTCTTCTTACAGTATTCCTTACTGTCTTATGAAAATGAGATGAGGGACTCCATTAAGGTCTCGATAAACACACACGAGAAGCTGAGATGAGCTGGTTCATTGTTAAAATGTCACAAATAGCCCATTCAGGGCTTTAAATTGGCAAGTATTCATGAAAAAAGCTGCAGCCGCCCTAGTCTGCTTTGCTTTCTTGTTTTGTTTCTTGCTTTATTTTGTGCAAACAGACAGACAGACAGACAGACAGACAGACAGACAGACAGACAGACAGACAGACAGACAGACAGACAGACAGACAGACAGACAGACAGACAGACAGACAGACAGACAGACAGACAGACAGACAGACAGACAGACAGACAGACAGACAGACAGACAGACAGACAGACAGACAGACAGACAGACAGACAGACAGACAGACAGACAGACAGACAGACAGACAGACAGACAGACAGACAGACAGACAGACAGACAGACAGACAGACAGACAGAGATAGATAGATAGATAGATGATAGATAGAAATGTGGAAAGAGGAGACTGGTGTGAGTCTTCATTTTTGCCTGTAGAGATGAGACATTTGAGGATTTACATCCCTCCCTACCTTAAAAAAGCAACGAGCACATGAGGCTAATCTGGAGAGGGGTATACTCAGATTCAGGTCTTCATTCAGCTGTAAAGCACACTGCATGGTCTTGGGATGGCCACTTTGCTGTCAGGATAAAACAGGGGAAGGTAGGGTGAGATACACATGTATTAAAAGGGAGGTAGGGAGGAAGAAAGATGGGAGTAAACTTCAAAAGACCTGATCAAAAAAGAGCAAGGGGAAAAAGTGAGATGAGAAAGAATAAGCAATGTGGGACACTTCCAATGATTGTGATCATTATATGCAGAGATCCATAAAATTTCATCGTACATTCTGTCTGTGTTTAAGGATCAGCCTGCACTCCTATGGGAAATGTTTGCTCGACTCTAAATTGGTGGGTCTTATTAATTTCATATAGCAACAGAGGGAAAATATATTGCATATTATCAGAGGTTGGAAAAGTATTGTTAAAATAAATTTATTCCTGTAATTGCTGCAGTATATGAAAAGTAGACTGTTGTTGTTTATTTTACAGTGTTGGAGAAGTTGCTCAAAACCTTATTTGTTGCATTGTTCATTTCTGGTTTTTTTTTTCCAGGGGGTAAAATAGATGAGAGGTGGACATAAAACTGGAAACATTCCTGTCATGATGCCTCTTAAACCACCTTAAAATGTCTTTACAAGTAATTAGGAAAAAATGTAACTTGGTACACCAGTAAACTTGCGCCTATTTGCTACAGTACTTTTGACATGTAACTTGTGAAGTCAGCCTTGTGAAGTTACAAGGCAACAGCCTTGTGAAGTCACAGTTAACTAGTTACAGGGAATGTTGTTCATTGTAACACGTTGCTTTGAAGCTAACCCAAGCCAGAGCTCAGAAAGGTTACTTTTTGGGACTACAGACCCTAGAATTGCCCAACAAGCACTGGCAAGTGGTGATGCTGGCTGAGGTTTCTGGGGGTAGCCTTGTCAAACAGTGACCTAAACCAAATATCTTAGCCTGTGTAACCTTGATCTGTTTTTTTCCCCCTCTTTCCCATAGAAAGTCACATTCTTGAAGATGTAAACAAGTGCATCATTGCACTAAGAGCCCAGGATGCTGATGGTTTAGATTGTGCAGCTGGTGCCATCCGAGGGCGTGCAGCAAGAGTGGCCCACGTTGTTTCTGGGGAGATGGACAATTATGAGACCGGAGCTTACACTGAAGGAGTGTTGAGAAACGTGCAGCATCTCACAAATGCCGGTATGTGTACTTTTCTGGCATTTGAGCTTTTGCAGAGGAAATCCAAACATTGTGACTGGTTTTCAAAAAGTAAAAAATATGCATTTCACGATTGCAACCCATTTTCTAATGGAAGAGCAATATTTTCTTTTGTGTGGCACAGATATTTCTTCTCCACCAGAGATGATTCAAGGATGTTTTTCATTGTGTAGATGTCACTGATGGTTCACTAGTTGATGGGTCCTCTGGATCACTAGTTGATTTGTGAATTTAGAGTATTTTTGGACTAGTTGTACCTGTTGTGAAGTCTGCAGATTGCGACATGAGGATAGCTCTTGAGCCCTCTTGCTTCAGCGTAGTAGCACACAGAATCAGGTTGCTAGAGGGAGCACATAGAAGTTGCGGCACAGTGATTAAGGGTATTAATCTAGGGAGTTTGATAGGGATGGTGAGGGTTGTCTTTGTATTGAACCCTATCTATGGTACTGAACTAAGGTTGCTACCTCAATTTTCCACAATGCTTCTCATCTTCAGCAGTTAACGGCAGGCCCCTCAACAAAGGGAATTGTGGTTCCCATCAAATTTGTCTCCAGAACTGACAGTTGCTTAATCTTTGGTGAGAACTTTCCAAAAGTCACAAGTTTGTTTATACATTCAGTGAAAAGCATGAGGTGTTTTTTAAAAAGTTCTACTGTATGAGAAAGCAAAGCTTACATATTTGTCCACTCCTGGTCCCTGGTTCCACTGTCACTTAGCAGGCAGCCTTCAAATGCACTATTTTCCCCTTAGTCTTATATAGTGTTTGTGAAGTGCTTTGAACACATAAAATAAATATACATTTCAAAACAACGGAAGCTAGAGGGTTTGTCTATCCAGCCCATTATTGACTGTCAGTAATCCCAGGCAAGTAGTTTTCTTGATTAGTTGATTTCTGGTCCTTTTAGAATGATATTCAGGGGTTGAATCTAAGCATGTGCTCTACCACTAACCCAGGGGCCCTCCATAAAAAATAAAAAATGAGGATCATTTGTGTTCTGTTAAAACCTGCCTCTCAGAATTCTGGAGTCAGAACCTCGGCCCTATTTCTTTACCTAGTGTTTGTCAGTGAGACCAACCTGCTGTCTTCGCCACCACACAAATGAGGTACAGTACTGTAGAAACCAAGGAGTTGATGAAGACACTCAATTAATAGTTTTATCCTCTTGAAAAAGAATGATCAATTAATTAAAGGTGTAAGAATATGCCATTTCATTTCCACCCTTAGACAAGTCCTATGTCTATCATCAAATATTTTCAAGCAACATTGTTTTAAACAATGGAAAGATAATTCTGTTAACGTTAGATTCTGGTCCAAAGAACCTCATCAAAAGGATTTCATAAAACAAAGTTTTAAAAGATACATTTTTCTCTTATCGTGGCACAACACACTTCTCATTGCTTCTTGAATGAAGCAAGTGGAAATGATGTAAAAACCAAATGACACTCCACCTTGTGTAGAATCCCAGTCCTTCTCATTTTAACTTGGTTCAAACGCACTGTGAATTGGCACTGATTGCTGTTCCATTTCACGGCAGTGACAGTAATGTACCTGTGCCTAAATCCACATATAAAAAGACAGTGCCAAATAACACCTCTGGGCTGTAAAATCTGGGGACAGCTTCATCACCAGTGTTTTATGCACTTAGTTTTGAACATCAAAATACAATATCCTTAAATTATTCAGCTAAAATATGTAAAAAAGTGGTCTTTGACGTAACTTGTTTTTGACATTTGGATCATGTCTTGTGAATAAACCTAGAATCCTAAGAAATAGTCCCTCCCGCAGTCCCCCCTGGGAAAAAGGGGCTTGCTAAAAGCAATATGTAGCTAACTACAAAGAACTAGGCCTACACTTGGAATGCTGTGTACATTTCTAGTTATCACATCTTTAGAAAGGAGGTGTCAAAGCTGGAAACAGCAAGAAACAAGCAAGACAAATTTAATTGATTGGATCCTGCCCTTCCTCACAGAAGCCTGGGACAGCTAACAGCCTCTGCATAAACATGGTTAGAATCAGAATTCTAAAATTACAAATAACTAATAAAATACAGTGAACAATGCAAACAAGAGACGGAACAGATTACTTGTTTAAAGTCTAGCAACTTATAAAAAGAAATATGGTTTTAGTTAATGCCTCAGTGAACAGAGGAGCTAGAACCAGAGGCCAAAGACAGGGTTGAGCACGCAAGAGGTCTGCCGCACCTACTCTGTGTTTGTTTTTATTAGAACCTCAAGGTCCAGCAGGTGGAACCAGGTGGCTCGCGAAGGGGAAAAAAAAGAATATGGAACAATGAGCGGATTTTTTCAGTATCAGAAGTAGCATTCCCACACACATACCGGTATTTTCACAACAGCCTAATTTAGGTAGTGTTGCAGGAGGCCTTATTTTTGGTTGCTTTTGAAATGTTAGTAAACCACTAGAGTCTGAAATTTCTGCAAATTGCCTGGAGATTCCCCCACCCCATCTATGAAGATCCCTTACAACATTTGGGGCTTTGTTACAGTACTTAAAAAAAACAGGCAAGCAAGGAAGGACCATGCTGGTGACACATGAAATAATGAATGACATGCAGAAAATATATGTGTGCAATCTACAGTAAAGAGACAGGACACAGATGGTAGTTACTAGAGCCATAGTTTATTAACTTAACAACACAGTCTGCAACACAATGTGTATGTGTGTGTGTGTGTGTGTGAGAGAGAGAGAGAGAGAGAGAGGGAGAGGGAGAGGGAGAGAGAGAGCAAGCATATTCACATGTTAGGGTCTTTTTCCTGACTTGCCATGTGGCTAAATTAACTCAGTTGGGTAATAATTCACTACTCCTGTTAGTCCTGGCTTCTCTGAGCTTGAAGAAGGTTGTCCTGTTGTTTAGTTATTAAGTCGTGTCCGACTCTTCGTGACCCCATGGACCAGAGCACGCCAGGCCCTCCTGTCTTCCACTGCCTCCCGGAGTTGGGTCAAATTCATGTTGGTAGCTAAATTGACCAACTTCTGGTCAATTTAGAAAAGAATCCGTACATCACCACCACCGATCGCATAGACCTGAGTGATGAGTCTCAAGAGTCCTCTATCTCCTTAATGATGCTTTAATGCCTTTTTTGAGTGCTCACCATATCACTGCTTGATCTTACTCTGCAGAACTCAGTGAAATTGTGACCAGTCTAAATTACTAAATTAGATAGCCATCAATGCTAATATGTAACTCTTGTTTCTGACCTCAAGGTAATAACAAGAGCGTGTCTTTTGAAACCCAGGAAACTTGGCCAGTGTGTTGATTAGTCAAAAAGTCATGGACATAATAATGTCCGTCAAAAAAAGTGGATAAACCAGCATAGTTTTTTCTTTAAGGAAAGATGGGAAGGACACTGACACATTTAAAGAGGGCCATATATTTTCCATCTCAAATGGGAAACAAGCCAAAGGTGTTTCTTTTCAGGATAAGCAGGTCAGTGAACAAGCTTTTCCCTCTCTCATGATGACAGAGTGTGAACTACCCAGTGAAAATCAGTGACAGGAAATTCAGGATGGATAAAAGAATACCGTGTGGTTTTTGTTGTTTTTTTTTTTGGAAGAGAATGTAAGTGAATCATGGCATTTGTGATTGCTACCACAGACTTACCTTGCACTCTCATATTAACACACTCGATAAAAAAAACATGTTGAATGTAACATAAGGATCAGCCTTAACATGTTTGCTGGTCAATGCTTTCTGTCACAACTCTGCAGGTAGCTTGTCCGTTCTGGGTGAACCCACTACCAGTGAATAAACTAAGGCTACAGTCTTACATCCTCTTACTTGTGAGTAAGCCTCAGTGAACTCAGGCTGAGGAAATAGCCATAGGATTGTAGTGTAAGGTTCTCCCCAGCCTGGACAAATCTGTGACTCTCATCTTGAGTCACACTAGGCAAGAACATAGTAAGGGACTCATGCAATTTATAATCAGACAGTGAAAATAGCACTGTACAGTAGTTAGAAAATATAATTCTGAAAATGCCTAGCAAAAATTTCCTGCTTCTATGTTCCACTAACAGCTATATGGCATTTCCATTCTCTGATAATGACAATTGTTTCATAGCAGTCCATAGATTATTCAGGTAAAATGCAATATGGAGAATGAAGAACATTTTTCAGCAATAGAAATGTAACATAATTTTTCACTTAAAGGCCATTTTTAAGGGTTACTGCTTATCAGAATTTTACAGCAGTTAAAGATAAGTGTGAGGGTTATCTCCTTGTTTAGGTCATAAGTAGTAACTAATTATTCTAAAAAAATGTATACAACATTTCAAGATGTTTTGGTAGAATATAAACTACTTAGGGCAGGGTTAGGCAAGATATGGTCCTCAGCCTGATCCCATTTGGCCCTTTGCATAATTTCCAAAGCCACATGCAGGTGCTTAGTTCATGCCTCTGCAAGAGTAATCAGTTATTCCTCAGTAGTTATCTAAATCAATGGTTCCCAACCTTTGGTCTTCCCAAATGTTCTTGGACTGCAACTCCCAGAAGCCTTCACCACTAACTGTGCTGTCCAGGATTTCTGGGAGTTTTAGTCCAAGAACATCTGGGGACCCAAAGTTGTGAACCACTGGTCTTAAATAAAGAGAGGGAGGGGAGACGGTAGATGGTGACAGGGAGAGCAGGAGGAAGAGGGAGCAGAAGAGATGGTTTCATATTTTCAGGCCATAACCACCATTGCCTTCGGTCACATCCACTATCGGCATGTAGCCCCCAACAAATTGCTTCAAAAGGAATGGAGAAAAAAATGTAAAAAAAGAGATGCATGATGGATTCACACATGTATTTTTGTATGGCACCGTAGTGCCCCCAAATTTGCTACTGTTATGTGGTGGCGGCAGCTGAAGAACAAGAGTGTGTATTTCAAGCAGGCTTCAAGGAATACAGCTCTGCATTAAAACAAGTCGTGAACTTCTCATGTGCCTTGTTTTTAAAGGAAAATATGGTTTCCTGCTACTGGCCTGT